ACCCTTTTTCTAACAATCTAATTTACTTATTTAATATTTTTCTTTCTTATTGTGTTAACTTTACTCATTAATTTCTTGTTGATGTTAATTGGTATTTGAAAGATTTACGAAAACGTTGAATGAAGAGGGTGAGTTGATTACACTGACTGTATTCGATTTGATGATGAATATTGATATTTGTAAATTCATACCAAACGAAAATTCTGAATACTTCTAACAACAAAACCAATTAACAATAATACTAGAATATATTATATAACTAGTGATTTATGTATTTAGTGTTGTTATTCCATTTCAATTCTTCTAAAGAGTTTATTCTAAACATATTCTGATAAGAAGAGTAATATTCTAATTATTGAATGAATTCATTTCTTAAATTTCAAATAAAAAGAAAAAGAGTGAAAGTGAAGAAAATATTTTTATTATGTTAATTGTGATGGAAGATTAAAAAGAATGAATTTATGTTTTTGTTTTGTGATTAATGTGAAAATCAAATAATTATTTTGAATTCTTTTTCATTGAAAATTAATGTTTTGTTGTTTTAATTATTCTTAAATTTCATTTTAATGATGAAATATGAAATGATTATAAATTGATATTTGATAATTAATCTGTTATTTATTAAAATATTAATAATCAAAATGAAATGGTATTGAATTTAATATAATGATATATTCAAATAAATAGAAGATAAAATAAATATAATATCAGAATAAAACAATGAATAAACAACTAAATATAACAAGAATAAATAACAAGAAAAAATAAATTAAAAGAAGAAATAAAATATAAAAAAGAATAACAAATAAAAGAAATAACATAATTTAAATATTCAAAACATAAAAATAATCAAATATAATAAAAATAAATAAACAAAATAATATAAAACAAACATATCTATTAAACAACAATAAAATTAATAAATATTTCATTATTATTTAACCATTATTTATAATAATAGAAATATTAGTTATTCATTCAGTTTGTGTTAGTTCAATATTTATTTCATCTTGAACTCAGAATTTAAGATGAATAAGAAATGATTGAATAACAAATTAAATTCATACATTTCTTTCTTTGTTAAATCTCCCAATAAAATCATCTCTTTCAAAATAAGATATTATACATTAAAACAATATGAATCAAAGAAAAGTATAGAATTTAAAAGAGTTATAAATGAAGAAGTTAAAATAAAATTAAGAAGTTATTTTTAAATCTAATAATAAAGAGATTTATGATAATTTTCAATGATTTCTTGTTTTTTACAACCTCAAGATGTTGTTAACAATTTATTGTTCATTAGTGTTTGTTGTTAATAATATTTTGTGTCATTTAATTATAATATTAAAAATAAAACAATAAAATAAAGATAAATAAAAGAAATACAAAGAAATGAATCAAAGACACTTGTTCATATAAGTATTATATATGATAAAGAATCATTTTTTTGATGAATAACTAACATTGAATATAACAATGAATAAATTAGAAAAAGATAAAAATAAAGATAGAATTTATATTATATAACATACCAATTATCTATCAATATAACATATCAATATAAAATAAAAGAAACGTTTTTTGACTGTCAGAATAAATATAAAGAATAGATATAGAATTTAAACTATAACAACATAAAAATGAATTTTAAAAAAAAGGAAAAAGAAATAAGAAAAATAGAAAGAAATAATACAGAATATATTCTATATACTAAAAAGTGAATATAAAAAGAATACAATAAATATCATATTTGAACATAGAATAAGACAACAAAGAAGAGGAAAGATATGAGAAGAGAAAAAATAAATTTAGAAAAATCTATAAATAAGAATGAACAAAGTTGAAATTAAAAAGTTCTTTTGAAATCGAAAATATTCTTATAATAAAAAACTGTAACTTTAAAGTTCCTTTATTCCCTTTTATTTTTAAACTTGCATTTTTAAAATCTAATAATAAACACTAATTGAAGGTCAACAGGGTATGAATGGTTCAAACATTTTCAATGGTTTTGGTGATGAGAGTTTAGGAATACATCAATATGAAATGGAGACACTAATATCTAAATATTTAGACAAGTATATTGTAGGAATTAATGCCAAACTAGATAGACATGACCAAATACTCTACCAAATCCAAAATAAATTCAATGGGATGGAAATGTCTATGATAATGTTATACGCAAAGGATGAAATTGTAGAAAAAATAAAAGAGGAACTAAAAGTGTTAGAAGTAATGAACGAAACAATGGTTGATGAAAAGATAAGAATAGAAAGAGAACAAGCAAAAAAAGATAATGAAATTATTAACAAACAATTAAAAGATAGTGGAATTGAAATTGAAACAAATACTACAAATATACTTGTTCATAGGTTAATGATAGAGGACATTCTTGAAAACATGCAAACAAAGAGAGCAAGTGAGGAATTAGTTAAAGGACTAGTAGAAGAAGAAATAAGGAAAGAATATTTGGTTCAGGTTGAAAAACAAACAAAGTTTTTAAATGAATCAAGAGGTAACGTCACAAATAAAAGAAACACTATAGCAAAGGGTGGTAGAGGGATTCGTATTGAACCTAAAGCAGTAGTAATATATAATAACTATAAAATAATACAAGAAACAGAAATTAAACAACTAGAAGAATGGACAAATAGAAAAGTAGGGAATATAATATTTGATTCAGATATTGATGATTGGAATAAGAATACATCAGTATTTGATAAAAGAATAATAAATAAAGAACATATAATAATTATTATTGAAGATGAAGATGGAAATAAATTTGGAGGATATATTAATGTGAAAATTGATAAAGTTAATAAATGGATAAAAGATCCAAAATCATTTTTATTTTCATTAAAATCAAATGGGAGAATACAAAGAATGATGAAATTTGATATTAAACAACCACAGTATGCATTTTATTTAAATAATCAAACAGAGGATTACTTATTTGAATTTGGATATGGATGTGATATTGGTTTTCTTAAAGAACATTATAAAACAATATCATATTGTAATCAACATTCATTTGAATATAAAGGAGTAACAAAAATTCACTTTGTGGAAAACAACATCCAGAATATTTCACACCAGAACGAATCATTGTAATTGAAATGAAATGATTTTTATTCATTATTATTTATTTGAAATATAAAACTAAAAAAAATATGGGTTTGAATAAAATAATATATAACCAAACATAGTCATAATAAAAAAGAAACAGATTTGAGAGGAGTAAACAAGGGTTTAGAGATTTAATTATTATTAAGGAAGGAATGATTGTAAAAGTTTTTGTTAATCATAAAACAAAATTCATAACTATATTCAAAACAATAATAAAATTTACTAAAATAAAATAGTAGATATTGATTTTTCTATTTCATTTTATTTATTTGAGGTATCTTTTCCTCTATTGAATATACTGTTAGTCATTATTTCTATATCTCTGTATTTATACTCATGGTCTCTGATTGTTTCATTGGATCTTTCATGTTCATTATTTATTGTATTTTTATCTTTATTTCATATTGTTTTATAATTTTTTATTCTTACTAATTCTTTATTAACTTTGTTATTATATTGATACAACTTTTACTTTGTATTATTTTAAGAGAATATTCACAATAGAATTAACATGAATAGTGAATCATTAAAAATTAGTAAAAATCAGTTGGGATGTAAACTGCAATCTCTTGCTGCTAAAGAACGATTAATTAACAGTTATATGTTAAAGCAGCAAAAAGAAGAGAAATACCCAAAATATGTAGATTCATATTATGACATTAAGAAAGCATATGAATCAGTAAATCATGAATGGGTAATAGAATCACTTAAATATTTTAATGTAGAGGGAGTCATCATAGATATTGTAGAAAGTATGATGAACAGATGGAAGATATTCATAGGATACAAATATAATGAATATCTAGGATGTATTAAATTGATGAATTTTACAAGGTGATTCATTATCCACTCTACTCTTCATCATCCAAATGAATGTTATTTCTCATTTCATAGAAAAGAAGTTCCCAAAATCAAACCATACATTATATATGGATGAATTGAGAATAATGACACAAAGTAGTGAAGAAATGGGAACAATCCACAATGAAATTAAACAAATAATAAGTGGAATAGGGATGGAAATGAATGAAAATAAATCAGGAATGGTATTAAAGAACATTAATAAAATACCAGATGGAATGCAAAACATCCCATTAATTGAAGGAGAGGACTTGTATAAATATTTAGGTGTATAGCAGTCCGATGAAATTAATGATACATTCAATTGTAAAATCATCAAATAAAAGATGATGAAGAAAATGGAAGAAATAAATACTGATGAAAGTAGTAATAGAAGATATATTACAAGAATTAATACTGAAGTAATACCCATCTTCAGATATTCAGCATCAGTAGTAAATTGGAAGGTAACTGACCTAGATAGAATGGATTTGGAGATAAGAAAATATTTAAGAAAGGCAAAATACATTGTTGTAACTCCAAAGACCGTCTATATGTCAATATAAATGAAATTGGTGAAGGATTAATAAGCCTAAGGGACGAATATGTTAATGAATTAATTAGAACAGTAATGTAATATTGTACAAGAGTGAAATAAGAAATAACATATTTGATAGATGGTATTCCAAGAAAGGAATATGGAATAGAATTAAAAAATCCCTAAGTCATAAAATCGCAGAGATTCAAATAGAAGAAATAATAAATGAATTGAAAATAAAAAAGAAAAAGAAGTAGTATTAAAAATAA